AGAAATCCTTCTGAAAGCGGTTATTCAAGCTATTCCATCTTATATCATGTTCTTGTTCTATCTCCCAAAAGCCCTCACCAAGAGAATGGACTCTCTCCTCAGTAACTTCTTTTGGTCAGGGTCTATGCATAAGAATAGCCTCCATTGGTGTAAGAAATAGATTCTTTGTCTGCCTAAGTCAGAGGGAGGCTTGGGCTTCAGGAGCTTCAATGATTTTAACCTTGCCCTGCTTGCTAAGCAGGCCTGGCGCCTCCTCACGACCTCGGATTCGTTGTGGAGCAGGCTCCTTAAAGGGTTGTACTTCCCCAGAGGTGATTTTCTTAACGCTAAAAAGGGAAGCAGAGCGTCATGGATTTGGGCTAGTATCTGGGAGGCAAAGAAGGTGATTGGTTTGGGTGCAGTTAGAGTGTTTGGTTCAGGTAAAGACTCGTGGGTCGATCAAGACCCGTGGATCACCTGTTTGGATGGTTTTACTCTCAGGACTGGCCCTCAGAATCACCGGAAGGTCAACGAGTGGATCGACCCAGGAGAAAGGAAGTGGAAGACGGATGTTATCCAGGGACATGTTTCTGGCTCAGAACTCGAAGCTATTCTCAGAATTCCCATTGGGGAGGAAGGAGCAGATGACTTTTGGGCATGGAACTACAATGATGAGGGAAGGTTTACGGTGAGATCTGCGTACCATAAGATTCACAGAGCAAACGCCATTGCTCAACCAAGCGGGAATACTGATAAATGGAAGTGGATTTGGAGCCTTCACCTTCCCCCGAAGTTGAAATTCTTTGTTTGGAGATGCTCCAGGAATGGGTTAGCAACGAAAGAGAGACTACTCCAGAGGAAGTGTGCACCTAACTCTTCGTGTCAGGTGTGTCAGTACCCCGTCGAAACGGTTAATCACTGCCTGTTCCAATGCCCTCATGCTAAGGTTGCATGGAATGCGCTGTTCCCGTCCCTTCCTTTACCCCTCAGGGAACCTTGTTCTTTGACTGGTTCTGCTCCCTTAAAGATGTTGTCCAACAAAGCTCCTTGATCCATATTGTCTTCCTTTGTTGGAATATTTGGAAGGCAAGGAACGAATGCTCTTTCAAAGGTAGAGTCCCGTGGCCTCCAAAAGTGTGTCAACTTACCTATAAAGAGCTCACTGAATGGAATTCGTGTCCGAGGTCCCCACCTCCCCTGCCTTCCCTCCCCACTCAGCTCAGGGGAACCCAGTCTCATACGAATCCACCGCCAAGTAATCAGTCTTTGATGATTCACTATGATGGGCCGTTCATTAGCGACTCCCAGCCGGCGGCATATGGTGTTGTGGTAGTTAACTACCATGGACAAGTGTGTGATGGGAGAGCTGAGGATCTTCTTTGTTCCACCCCAATTGAAGCGGAAACTAAGGCCCTTCTCGAAGGAGTGAAATTAGCTCAAGAATATGGATCCGAGTGTACGGTTCACTCCGACTGTCAGGTGCTGGTTAAAGCTTTGGATAACGATCGCTCTCGATGGCCTTGGAGGTGTGCAGCCTGGATCGGATCGATTGTTTCAATCCTTCGGACAAACCCTCTCATCAAAATCAAAGAAGTGCCCAGAACACTTAATGTCAGAGCAGATTGGGTTGCTCGTTCTAAAGCTAGAGCGTCTCTTCCTGATGATTGGATTAATATTCTTGATCTCATTTCTGATCTTCTTTAAAGATATGTAACCGAGTTTCTCGTCTTTCATTTGATCGGTGGAATAAAAGTTGGTAACCATTGTAAGAAAAACAAACAGATTTAATTTAAAAAAAAGGAAATTAATTATTAACTCTGACTATCCCTAATCTACCCTTACTGTTTTCACAACCATTGGATTAGTAATACATTTGGACGGGTCAGATTGAGGTTAGGAGCTTCTCCCTATATAGCTTAAATTTGGTAGTATTAATGAATGTGGCAATTTTCAGTTTAATTGCGGATTTGCGGGAACATGATTAACATAATAAGTGTTCCATTGCTTTTGATATTTCCACAATAAATATGTATGTCAATCATATTTAATTAATCCTTAAGCTGGTAGTAGTTATCAAAATTCAAGCATAATCTCTTAATCATTAGAATTTTTAGCAGGCATCAACAATGAATCAATTTATTCCAACAACTTTGATTAAAAAAAGAGGTTAAGATTGAAATTTTATACGAGTATCTTTCTAAGGCAAATGGAAGATAAAACTAAACAAAGTTGAGCATAACAAGCCTTCCGTTTTCTCTCTTAATTATACTTAATGCTGATGCTGGATGCATGATTAATATCCATTCGGAATCGACAATTTGACTTAATTCTACTTTGAGTACGTGGAGTTTCTTTATTTATGTTTTATAGGATTACAGATTATGCAGCTATAGCCTATATGATGAATGATGTTGAAAAGTTACAGGTGAGAACTGACGATGGGGCAGGGCGGGTTTTACCCGCCCCGTGCGGGGCGCTGCGTGGGTCAGAAAGTGGTGACCCGTTGCGGGGCGCGGGGCAGGTCGGGGCAATGGACAAGATGGCAGGTCAGGTCACGGGTTTAGGGGTACCCGCCCCAACCTTGACCCGTTGCCATCACTATTGCCTAGCCTAGCTGGCAACTAAGAAACAAGGGAGCAAGTTGTCCGCCCGCGGGCTGATTCGGACTCGGTCGAGTTAGTGGGTCAAGGGTTGATGGGTTACCCGTTTTAGTCCAGTATAGTCCATAAATATGGAAAGTGTCATTATATTGTACTTATCCTGATAAATTATATCAAATCTCATCTAACATATAACATATAATATTCCATGAAAATAACATGTCATACTTAGATCTAACATATAGTAAAAATTCACACACACTTATATAATATAAATATTCAAATGTTCAACTTACCATTCCAAAGATTGAGTTAGGTGAAAAGAAAAATCGGAAAATAGACGCATTTCGCACACCAAAGAAAAAATGACACAATTTGATCTCCAACCCGGTACTTTGTAGCGATTGCCCCGGCGGGTGCGTGCAGCCGTTTTTTTCACCGGGTCAGCGTCAAATGCGGGTTGACAACCTTGGAAGGGAGCAAAGAAAGAAGAGAAAGCTCACATGCCTCGAATACCTTACAAAGAAAGCAACGGCGAATACTTGTTTCTCTTGTCCCTTCGGAGCACTTCTACTATGCTATATAGTATTGGTGCTTTAATGTACAACTTGAAGTTGTACCATAACATTAAATGTACAAGTTTAGGTTGTACCATAAAGGAATTTGTATCACTATGTTATGGTACAACTTTACAACTTGAAGTTGTACCATCACATTAGGTACAAGTTTAAGTTGTACCATAAAAGAATTTGTACAAAAAGTATAGGTACAATCTGAAGTTGTACCATAACATTAAAAGTACAATTTCAAATTTTACCATAAAGATAAAAACCTATAACACCATTGCTATATAGCATTGTAAAATTCTTCCGTCCCTCCGACCCTCCCAAGTTTCCTTGTTTACCATTTTTTTTCATTCCACCTCCAAGCACTACTCCCCAATACAACCAAATAAGAAAAGAACACTAAAAACAATAACATGGTAGAGAAGACATGAGTTAGTATCTACGAAGGCAAAACAAAAAGGCAGTGTTTGGCTTTCTTATCCATTCATTCCCACCCTAAACTTCATCACCCCTACCCCTACGTACCAGTGGTGGAAGTGAGTGACCTGAGATGCTAACCGTATGACTTGGCCATTAATTATTACTGCTCATTCTGATTCATCATTCTATTTGAACCGCCGATACTGAAATTAAATGGGGCAACCTAATTAATCAGTAGTTAATCACTTGTTTATATAATTAGTTTATTAATTCTTGCTACTACTGCGGGCTGCCAAAGTTGCGTACTATTTACCAAACTTACAGCTGGTGATGACATATATATACAATATATAGAACAGTAGCTAGCTAGCCAGGGGCGAAGGCATAAGCAAGAAATTCCTTTTGGTTTTCGGTATGAAAAATGATATTCTTTGTTAATTTGGTCCTTCCATTTGTTTTTCTCTTTCCAATTTAATTCTAGTATATGTTTAGAAGTTTTGTCCCACCCCCCAACCAACCAACTTCTGAATTTTAACTGTATGCGTTGATTACAAAGTTGGGGAAGAATTCAATCCCTTTCTTTGTTTCTTCCTCACTGGTCTTTGCCAAACTAAACTACAACCTAGCTCTACATTTTCTTTCTACATATTGGTGATCGTACGTGAATTGGATTCATAAATTTGTGAATTGGATTAGTGGATTTATGAATTCATTGATTGGATTAAATGGACATATGAATTCTTGGACCATACAAAATGGGCTAGTGGATTGGATTCATAGATATCACTGACACCCAAACATTAGACCATTACATAGATTTTGAAAAAAAATTGGTACTAAAATGCCATTATGAAATAAATTTGGTAGCAAAACGTAATTTTCGAATGATATGTGTTTAAAAAAAAGTACTTATCAAAATATAAAAAATAAAAAGTAAAGGTAGTAAATATAATTTTCCAAATATTCATTAATCCAATCCATGGACCCATCAACCCAATTGGATTTAGATTAAATGAATCTGATTAGTTGAATTTTTAGTTGATGAATTGGATTGGTGGATTGGATTCAAATTGCCACCTCTAAGTATGTCAAGTATGGCAAAGTCTAAGGTGAAAATAAGAGGCTCAACTTTAATAAAGAAGTCACGTAGTATCCCCTTGTTGTGACGTACCAAGCCGTCAGCTATTTGATTGTGGACTGGTGGTTTCTCCATCTTGCTAGTCCCAAATGCTTCGTAAGTATTGACTGACATGAAATTGGGACTGACTCTGATATCAATAACAACATCGGGTATATGGAGATTGTGAAGCTTACAAGGAATAACAAATCTCCCTGAATCTGACAATTTATAGAGTGTCTTGACATTCATATTCTTAGGGATGTCATTTGTTGTGATCTTGGGGGGTGTAGGATGGGAGGTTCTTCCTTAATAAGACGTTATTTCATTGCCTTCACTAGATTGAGCATCCACATGCGAGCCTCCAAAATTGGTGAAGAAGCTTCCCCGCCGCCTAAAATTGTTATAAATTGATGGAGAACGTCAAAAGGGCAGGACTGATGAATTCAAGGCATCCCTCGAACTGACGCCTGGACCACCATTTTGGGAGAAATTTCATCGCTCGGGTTGCTATTTTCGTTTGGGTAAAGAGAACAATTGCTTTTCTCTTTTCCATGATTACTTTAACTTTTCCTTCTATTGTTGTGAATATTTTTCGTGGCTCCAGTAGGTAGAGGAGAGGGATGCTTTTTTTCACCACTAGCATTTCATTCTTTATTAGTTGGCTGACTCTTTGTAGAACGACTGAGAGCTCCTATGTTCGTCACGTTGAAGCCAAGATCATGAACATAATCTTTTTAAATTGATATATTTCTCGAGTGTTCTTCAACACCATCCCCAAACTACAACTACTATAGTTTACACTCTTTGACATCTCACCTGTAAGTAAATATAAAAGAAATGAATCGTTAAATTATATAGTTGGTACAAATTGTGAACCATGTTTATTATGGATGATATGATTGTATGGGAAGGATTCTGGTACGCTTAAGAGTTTTGTGGTTTGTTTTTGTAGTGTTTTCTTGGATTGTTTTTGTAACACCCTAATCCGGCCAGGTGGTACATTTACCAAAATACCCTTGTTAAACCATTAATCAAAGTAAGAAATGAAAGGACTAGAAAAAAATAACGGGAAAATTTTCTTAAATATGCTTAATAAAATACCAACATGAAACCATGCACATCCACCTAATTGAATAGCATAGCACAAACTGCCAAATCCTCGTCTAAATAAATCAATCATTAATCCTCTATTAGTGGTTTGATTCTCCAGCTCTTGTCTTAACAGACCACAGGAAAAAGGCATATTGATTATTACCCGGCGACAACACCAAATCGAGTTCTTGAACCCAAGCTCTGTAACAAGGCAGTATGTATTTACCTTTAGGGTTAGTCGCAACACGCAACTCTCTAGTTGCTATTGCCGTCAAGCTAGTCCTTTACTGTACTCAAACATGTTTGCCTTAATCTCTGGTCGGCAAAGACAACTCGCTCCCGACTTAGAGCCATCCAAAGAACACATTAAAATCTCGTTGAACTTTCCCTAGCCTTCTTTTCTTCCCTTATGCTTACCTTAATGTCTCCTTGTTGCCGCATAGAGTTAGAGTTTTCATACTTTTGCTTCCTCCCTTAGTAGACCATAGCAACCATTCTGCATATCCTTTCTCGATAGGTCGATGAGTGTTCTTTGCCTTCATTTCGTAGTCGATGTTCTAAGTGTTAGTGTTATGGTATATGATCCACGATTGAACCTCTCCCAACAACTCGAGTTATTGGGATCAACTGGTTCATGACATGGTATCAGAGCCTTCTGTGACCGAGAGGTCTTGCGTTCGATTCCCGGTGACCCCCATTTGTTAAGCACATGGTATTCTTGTCTTCAGACCTGTGCAAACTTCAAGCCCTTGTGAGTGGCTTTCGTTTGAGGGGGCGTGTTAGTGTTATGGTATATGATCCACGATTGAACCTCTCCCAACAACTCGAGTTATTGGGATCAACTGGTTCATGACACTAAGAGTTACAACTAAAATATATCATATTTGGTATTGTGCTAATCAGACCTTCTTACTGGCATATCTATATCTATATCTATATATTATAGCAATTCAAAATCAATCTCTTGCCACATAAGCACTTGGATGATCCACAATTACTTTTAGAAAATAAACATTTGACATTCAATTACTTTTAAAAAATAAACTACATTACTTTATAGATTGTTGCAATGAAACAACTCTTATTCGTAAAGTATATGTCTATAAAATAAAACAAGTATTATTTAGCAAAATGTCATAGTATAATCTTTTTTTTCAAAGGTATCCCACATAATGGGAAGAAGCAAGATACGAAATATAATTACAAGACCTTTGCAGGTCAAAACACAAAAGATAAATAGGGAAGAAGCGTCGGACGATCCAACGACAAGAGGGCTTTTTGTGCCACGATATGGGCAACCCTAATATACCTACGCATTTACCAGAATCCATGTATGTGCTTCAACCCTTTTCAGGGAGGAAGTAATGGAAGCCGGAGGATACAAGCATCCTTGTTGTCATTATTAAGCATGTGTTAACTAGCATTGGTCCCGGCCCGTTGGCCGGCATAGTTTTGTGAAAGAACAATAAGCTTATATGAAACAAAGCACAACTGATACTCTCATACTTTTTTAACTGATTGAATTAACACAAAAATGCATGCTATTCACAGCCTAAAACTTGCAAATCTATTTGGAGAATGATAAGTAGAACACTACAACATACTACATAACAGAAAACACATTGTCATTTAAGAATAATAATAGAACGAAAGCAAACATATACCATAGAGAAGGATAGTGGGAAAATGAGATATTTTTTATGAGCATTACATAACATTATCATAAGACCTACCACTCCAAACACAAATTCTATATCATAAGAGGTAAGCAACATTTATGAAGAGCTTTCTATAAAAAAAACATTTATGAAGAGTTGCAACAACAGAAGAGGATCCACTCCACATTTCTTGTGGCTCTATACGAAAAATGTCAATTATAGTATCATATGAGTATTTCCTAGACTCTAAATAGCATATTAGTCAAAGAGAATATTAATTTTGAGGTTAAAGAAGTAGTGATGTCATTTCTATGTTCACCTAAAACTTCAAGAAAAAAATGATTGAACAAAACAGTCCTTTAAGTCATATGCGAACCATAATCCATGCAATCAAACAACTAAGTTGAATACAAACAATAATAGAATGAAGATCAATGAGTTAGCAGAAATGAAAACTGAAAATCAGTCATCAACCGGAAAATAATATGATAGTAAACTATATTTGCAAGGTTAACATAAAAGCGGGGAGACCACCACATGAACCGTAATAAGCTAACTTGAGAGTCTAACACAAAATATCAAAACTTGATATGGATGACATAACTCCAAAGATGCTGCAAATTCTCGAGACAATGCAGTACAACAACCATTCAGACTACATTTTAGAACAAAGAGGGTAGAAGGGAAAACTCACAATGGGAATGATAAATCCTATTCGAATTAAGTAGAACTATGATGGGATTTAGATCAAATTAAAGATATAATTAATTGGCATATAAAATTGACCCGAAGAAGCTTAATGGAGTAGTGTTACTGTGGTTGTTTCACAACCATGAAAAGAAGCAACATTCCAATCTAATTTGGAGAACTTTCATCCTGCAAAACCCCAAATTGAATGATTAGTATTGAATATTGATTACAAAGCAACTTAGTTTTAATTATGGCCTATCCAAGCATTCCCCTACTACACTTGACCGTGTATAACATCACACGATCTGCTAAATCCACCAAAACTCTGTTTATATTACACACCATCGGCCTAATCCGCCACTACCATTCAGTTACCTCGAACAATTGAATTTCCCTAAGATGTTAAATTTTTGGGTGCCTATTATTTAAAGGAAGTTGGGACTAACCTGATCGTAAACCTCAAAATTATAATAGAACTCCTATCATAGATTTGATTGCTGATGAGCTTCACTTGTGATGAAATTTGGGGCAAACATTAAAAACTCTTCATTTGGAATCTGGAACGTTCAGATGCTCGCAGCATATGGGATCATGAGTTCACTTTTGATTTTCGGCGAGGATGAACGGAGAGAGAGGAGAAGAGAGAGGGAAAGAGGACAACCTGAATCATTCGCCCAAAAAGGGAGCAGAAGCGACGGAAAAGGGAATCGCTCCAACTCCAAGGGAGCAGAACAGAGTAGGCGGGAAGATGGAATTCGACACTCCGAGGGTCTCTGATGGCGATGGCGCGTTGAAGAAGGAAAAGCGAGAGGGACGATTGAACAAAGAGAGAGAGAGAGAGAGAGGAGGATGGAACGACTTGGGCATGATAAATTTACATACATAACCCTCCGATGTGTGCGGATTAGCGAGGATGAGCTGACGTGGCGGAAGTGATTTATTTACATTCCCTTATAGTAATCTGTAGATGTTCCTCGTCTCTCCATAACGATAATCATCATCCACATGATCTTTTAGCTAGTCACATAAGACGTTTAAGTTTCATCATGCTCACCTATTCTTAATCCATGCCGCATCCTCTTGGTGACCTTCTGCCATGTTGCAACCACTTAAAGTGGGCACCTTGTGTTAGGACTCTAGAACTGTTAGTGGACGAGACTTGATGCTTTGAAAATTGGTATTGAATCTTTTTACACCAGTATCTCACTTTTAAACCATGTTGAAAACCTTGAGACCGACTCTCAGTATCTCACTTATAAAGTGCAAACAGAGGGAACCAGGCTCTGATACCAAAATGTAACACCCTAACCTGACTAGGTACTACGTTTACCAAAATAACTTTGTTAAACAATCTACACATATTATAATACGCCGAAGGGAAAAACGGGAGCCCCATTTCAAATTTCCTGCAACGAGAGTGAAAGTAGGAAGGACATTTTGGTCTTCACAATTACTTTTTTTTATTCATTAAAAAGACACATACTGGGATTCGAACCATGACCATTTTAAAGAAAAGCAAGGATCATAACCAACCACACTAAGTACATTTGTTGTATCTATTTAAATTAAAAGCATATAATAGCAGGGAGGAAAAAACCTTCCCTCATTTCAAATTCCCTGCTCCAGGAGCGTTTGTAGGAATGGTAGAATAGGAAGTGTCAATTTTTTTCTCTTTCCTCTGTGAAACGGGCCAACTTACCGTACACATGTGAATTTAAATGGGTCCAGGAGTGTCAATTTTTTTCTTTAAGCCCTTTTATTTCTCCGTGGTGATAAAATATATATGAAAAAGGCAAAAACTAATGCATGGTATCTAATTGGCTAACCGCTAACCATAAAATAAAAGAGTTGAATGGGCCTGACCTACACGGGATTTGGCCATCAAGTAAAACAAATGAACATCATTGGTTTGCCATTCTAAAACAAGCTATTTTCTCTGGCATAATATATATTATGCTATTATTTTATATCTTAGTGGCTAAAATATAATGTATTTTAAAGTTATTCAATGGTTCAACCTCGACCAACCCAATTAGTCCAATTTTTATCATTTCAAATATATATTATATAATTATTTGATATCATAATGATCAAATTATAGTGTATTTTATAGGGAATCATTTGGTATTTGTTAGTAAAAAACTAAACATAAAGATCTATTTGGTTATTTTAAACATTAAACCGATCCTAATCATTTTTAGTTCCTTTTGGATTTCTATGGTTTTATTCCCGAATAAGTGATGTGCAAATGGCGAATTGTAGTCGTCTCTTTTCTTTCACTATTTTTTATTTTCAAATAGAAAGTTTAAAAGTAAAGAATAATTAGAATTTGGTATGGGTCGGTCAAGCAGGCTGAATTTCAAGTTTTTTAGCCCATTTGTTTTATGCATTGCAAATTTATTAGCATGTTGATGGAAATGGCTTGGAAAGAAGACATATAAGTTGTACCTTTGCAGAAATGTCCTCAAATGTTTGAATGCTTTGTGAATCTGGTTCCATGACTTTTGTGATGGTGTATGTGCTTGACGATTGCTGGATCTTGTAACTGCTTAATTTGAGAGTAAATCTTTTGATTTTCCCTATGAGTTGTGATACCAGTTCTGGTGGTTGCAGCATGTTGTCGTTGTTGGCCTGTAAAAGTTGTTCCGCCGTGATGCTAAATATCTTTCTTTCTTTTTTAACAAATTGTGTAGTAGTGTTATGAAACAGACCACCCATGAACGCTACGCTTATTATGGTCTGTTCTTATTTGCGGTGGTGAGAAATTGTGAATTGAGAATCATATTCGCCTACCACACTGTGTCTGGCTGGTGGTTGCTTACTGTGCTCTCTAGAGTTATGAAACAGACTACCCATGAACGTTACCCTTAAGAGTACATAACTTCGCGAAAAACCAAATTTAGGCAATCAAAGGTGTTGGATGTGTGATGATTTTTTATGGCTTAATTGTTTGTGAATCGGATATCTGATCTTTGTATTTTTTAGAGGGGATGTTTGCTTAGTAGAATAATCCATTTTAATTCATGTTTATTTTTAACATGAACTTTAGTAACTCAAAACCTTCGAGACACATATCACCTACTGCATTGTATCATTTTGCCTGGGTGCTTGTTGTGTTGTCAAACTTCTTTGCTGCTGCTGCTTTTACACTAACAGGGAGTTAAGAACCCATGAATGTTTCCGTTTGACACAAACAAGAGGACTTGCTTCTAAATCGTGCAATAAAGATGATTGGAGGAAACATCTCTGTTGCAGTTGATATACTGGAGACCAGAACAAAAGCAACGTATAACATCAAAACCAACCATCTGAACTATTAGCATTGTTGCTTTACTCTCTTTTCGTGGTTGAGTCTCCTTCAAAAAATTTAGTTTGTTTTTAGAAAATTTTGCTTCTGCAGTCCTGTCTTGCCACCAACGCGTTCAGTAGATGGAGATGGCAGAAGTGAAGGCTATTTTTGTGTTGGATAACTCTTTTCTCCGACAAAAATGGAGTGAAGAAAGGAATTATGATCAGTAAGGATATGGTTATCTTACATAACGGTCTCTATTCTGTTTGAATTGAGTTTGGGAGGCAGTGATAAGGACGAGCTGCAACCAATTCATAGTGAGAAGAGAGCTATGAACTGTGATCATGTCTTATTTCAAGTTATAAGGTAGTTTCAGTATAAGGATTATTTAATTTGACAAGTTGTTTCGTCCATGATTCATGGTAGTTTCAGTGCCATTCTAGCCATTGTTTAGTCTGTAATTTTTGAGAATTGATGTGCGAGTAATGACTTTCACTTAGCTTCAACTATTATGTGTGTATTTATTTGCATGTGATATAATTCTCTTTTCCTTTTCTTTGAATTCAGTTTCATACTCTAATTGTATCATTTTTACATAGGCAAATCATGCTCGAGATGACAACTCGCTGATATGGCTGGTGCAAGGAACGAAGCCATCATTAGAATTCAGACCGACAACGGGGAGGTATGCCCAGGACTAATTCAATGATGATTGATGATGGTATAATAAAAACTGCAGTCTGCATCAACACCAATTTCTAGGCCTAAGTAAAGTTATTCAACCCAGAACTCTGCTTAGCGCTAAAAATTGCCCTCACCCAACCTTGATCATGTTTGACCCACTTCTGAAGAGTCAAGATATATGACTAATCCTCTCCGTTCGTATTTTCTTATTGACTCTTTCTGACCCTTTAGGTTGGGGTGGGTCGGGAAGAATCGGATTAGTGGGTCGGTCCTAATCAAGTGGAATCCCAATCCCTTCACTCTCACTTGCTTTCTCTCCCATTCCGCAAGTGGGTAACATAAAGTAATCCGGCCAATGGGCCGGGTAATAAGCTAGTTAACCAAAGTAAGAAATGAAAGGACTTGAAAAAAAAAATTGCGGGAATCTTTTCTTAAATATGCTTAATAAAATACCTTGAAATTAAAATAACAATTTCTTGAAACTTGCATAAGCGGAAATCATAATAAATCCTTATTAAATACGCATCAAATCTCAACTCCTACTCAGTACATGAGCATTAAATTCCTCACTCTGGAAGTCCCCTGACGTCTTGAACCTTGTCGTGATCCAGCCAACTTCCTTAAGCAAGATGTAGAAAATCCTACAATTTCTAAGTGCGGGCATGGGGTCCGTCCTAAGTACTAGGTTCATTTCACTTGGTAGATAAGTAACTTAACAATGCATACATAAATGCATATGCTCATGCAATGCTCTTGTTTTAAGCAACTTACTTGACTTGAAAAAGTTTTCTTGAAATGGGGCCCCGAGCCCAACTTAACTAGCGGAACCGTCCAGTCACCTAAACGTGATAAACATGGACCTCCATTACTAGGAGGTGAGGTAACCCCGCTAGTTAGGCGACCGTCCAGTACCTAATATATTAACTTGAACATGGACTCCCTGTCTAAAGGAGTGGGTAGCATACATGGACTTCCTCGCTGTGGGAAGTGAGGTGGCTGCGTGCTTAGCTAGTAAGTGAGGTTTAAAACTTGTTCTTGTTTACTTGCTTAACATAACATGATTTGCACTTGCTTGACATGAGGATCATCCGCACAGTGGGAGATCCAGCTCAGGGCATGTTTACTTATAAAGTCGTACTTGATTGAAAGTTAACTTCCTTGCCTAAAACATATGTTAACGTTGAACCATGATTGTGCTATGCATACTTGACTTGAAACATGACATTACCTTGACTTAACATAAGCTCAAACCAAATAAACAAGGCATGACGTGAAGCTCATAACACACAACTTAAACACACATGAAACTTATGAAACACCCAACATAAATCATGTAATTCAAATACTTGGATCAATTTAATCTAACTAACCACCTTGAACCAACGCAGCTTGTATAATTACGTTGGCTGATTGTCAGGAAGTCACTCCACTGCACAGGCGCTGTCCGTTTGCTTCTGCATGCCAATTGTGTTCCTTTTCCCTTCTCACCCACTTGCATAACCCTTTACATAAGCATCAAACAATAGCTGCAGCCTTTACGTTGAAGCCTATTTTTTATAGCGTGAATATGACAGTTTGTTTAATAATAATAATAATCCACCTCGGACTCCCCATGTTCTGTAAGGTTCCAAATGGTGTTCCTAGTAATCCACACTTACTGTTCACACAAATTAGTCCCACCACCCGTGCCAATGATACAGCTGTGAATCTTGTTAATCTCTCAATCAATCTACGTAACCCATCTCCCAACATTGGATTTAGTACTCCATTAGGCCAATCCATCCCATTTGAGAACAAACCAATGAACACATATTTTGTGACACCTGACCCATTTAGCTCGTAATTGATTTCCGCAAAAGTGCTCTCGGCTCCCCTTTATATTCCATTGACGTGCATCAACTAGCTTAGTCCATACGATCATCGTCATCATTATCGAATTTAAAGGAAGAGATCCCCACCTCGATCCGTCGTCTGATGCGTTACGACGAACCTGAATACAAATGTCGGGGTTTTACGGTTTTCCTAGATTTTTTTGTATGTTTTATGGGGGTTTTGGTGTGTTTTGTGGCGGCTGTTGTGTTTGTAGAATTTGTGGTTTGTTTTTATGGGTGATTTTATTTGTATTGTTTATTATATCGTTTGCGGCATGTTTGGCACGTACTAGCATGGTTGTAATGCTCATGGTAAGATAAGGAATAATTGACTGAAGCGTGCCTTCATCTTATCATCATTATCATTGTTGGTGGAAATATAGTTTTCCAGCTGCTATCCTCCTTCTGTTGGACTGTTACATTATCCGAAGATGTTACGATTTGTAGCAGTTGTTGAGCATCTACTAAACCAACAGAAACTTCATCCACAAGATAAAAACCAGATTAATAGCTCTAAACAAGCCAGCTCTTGCTAGTAATTTGTTATTTATAGTTTAAACAAATAACCGCAGGCCAAATGGCATTTGCATCCACCCAAATCGTCCGCCGAATTCTTGAACCAAATAATCGCCCCTCTTTCTAGTTACAGCGGTCGATCTTTTATCCGACAAGAACGAAACAGAATGTTATGTGAGGTGGATGGAACCTGAAAGGGACGAACAAACTGATGTTCACTCCGATAAAAGCTGTTTGTATTCCTCCAGCAGCTTTGAAATATCATCCATTCGCAACTGAAATTAAGAGCAGATCACATGAACCAATGACTTGAAGAAAAAACTAAGTAGATATGAATATTTTAAGTAGATATGAATCATTTTTGCGTTTTCTAGTGACAGAAAGAGTAGGAACCTTGGTTCCTGTTGAATTAGAAAGCAATTCAAAGATAGTTTCACAGATCTTCAATTTTCCGGATCCCATTGACATGAATGGATGGCACAGGGAAATATATCACTGCATGACATTCATACCTGTGAAGCATTTCGAAAGTGATAGAACCGAAAAACATCTTTATCGAGAATACCAGCCTCAATTGACTGCAAATCAGCATTACTGTCACAAATGCAAAAACAGGTCTGAGATCAATAACTCAAATGTACAAGCAAGATAGATGCACCAACATAACCTTGAAACTGGGTCCGTTAATTTAAAATTGGGTGCACACTTTTACTGCTTTTGTGCAGAACAACAATAATTATCATTCTCACTCACCTACAGCGCCGAGCAATCATTCGTTGGTAGTCACGAAGCAAGGGTCCAATCTCCTTCAGTGCTATTGATCCAGGTGAAGCTGTCCTCCAATGATCACGAACTAACCTAATTCCCTATTTTTCATTTGCCGGAGAGATTGTTACGACCAGAACTTTGATATCACAAAAAAAAAGAACTATAAAACGCAAAAAAACTTGGATGACCAGTGAACCTGCTCATTAGTAGAACTCGGCAAAAGTTCAAGTAATTCTCTATCTTCCTGCTCATCTACGATTTGCAGACCTGATGCAGGAAGCGCAACTGATACTTCCAGCCTCTTCTGCAATTCTAACACAGCAGATCCCACCCTTTGATTTTCCTGTCATTAAGAAGCAAGGATAACAATATCATGTTGCAATCAAATATCGGAACAGCTATCAACAATGAAAAGAAAATGAAAAATAACCACTGTAAAGCAAAGCAGTCAATGTATGCCATCACTATCAGAACATTCTGAGCTTTGAAAAATGGATGATTCACATATGGACCTCATGCATATTACCATCAAGGCCAAGGAGCTAAGAAATAGAAGTTATCTTCGGACTTCTTAGCCCAATAAAATAAAAAATAAATGAGGTTGTCTTTGGTAGTTGAAGTCGTGACATTGAATGTCTTTTTACTGGATCACTGTGTTCTGAAAACATCATGATAAACAACAATATGTCCCATATCGAGTAAAATCGTACATTATTGACAGGGCACTAGACATAAACAGCTTAATGATATCTGCATTATTCTTAAGAAGGTGGGAAACAGCGTCCATTTACATATAATGTTTAATTCTACCAAATCTGAACCTAACAAGAACCAATGCACCAAGCTTCTGGATCATATTGTCAGACAGTTGCATGATATCAATAAGGATTTCAATAGAAACTTCGCAGAATACCTCTAGTAATGGTTGTTTAGTCATGCTGGCATCAAAAGTTTCCTGCACATTTTTTCTTGGAGTTGCAACCAGCCTCCTGGTTACAGGATCCCCTGAGGATGAGATAACACTTTAGTACTTCACAATGTGAGAGATGAATGACGAACCTAAGAAGGGAATTCCATGGAAATGAAAACTTTAATTTTATAGATTTAAAACTTGTCGTCAGAAAAAAGGCAATCAATCTGAATCAAGAAAAAAATGGAAATAGTAAATCAAGATAAACAACAGCAGGAATAGTCACAATAACGTACCAAGTGCTGCCAATATACTAGTGTTGTTTATCACCCATTGTTAGTACCAAACTTAACACCCACTGTTTTACATATCTGCCATTAATTTGGGTGAAATTATCTTACATGATCTAGTTGACCAGGTGAGTTGGCAACATTGAATTCTGCATAAGTGCAAAGAGTAACTTGACAACATTTTGTATTCGTACCTTCTGGCACCAGCCACCATATATCACCAAATGTCGACTTCCCATCAAAGCCACCAAACAACAGATAACGTGGCCCAGCACACATCATTGTGTGGTATGCTCGAGCAGGAGGAGGGTCACTGCCAATAGGCAATCGTTTCCACTGTGCAGAAACTACAAGTAAAAAGGATTGGTAAATCAACAGCCACAAGGTCAAGTAGGATATGGAAGGAGCAATATCTGTTACCAGTGATTCTGAAAATCTGCAAAGTTTAGAAGGATGCAGATCGCAAAATATGAAAATAAAGCAGGCAATGGTCACCAAAAAAAGAGCAAGCAACATGAGATTTGTTTGGAATGATTGACAGTGTGTATGTCGCATGAATTTAAATTTTCAAATAAGAGGATGGTATAAATTTGTTGACTGTAATAATACATTGTTTCAATCTTTGTGATCACAAAATGAAATTCTCACATTTTGGAGATCAATGATCAGTAATTGGAGTAAAAAAGAGCTTTAAATTGGAGTAATGGAAGAGCAGAAAGGAAAAAGAAGGAAATAGAATACAATATGCAAAATGAAGCATTTGAATCTCAGTTAATCCTACTTGAAAAGCATTTGAATCTCAGTTTAACCTGGTGCAGCCGGCTAAAGCTGAGACCGTCTCTGCAGGAGGCTGAAAAGGTTTCTGATGTTTAGGAAGAAGAAGAAGACCATCTGAGGGCATTACCACGGAAGACAGCTGATGAAAAAGATGCAGCGTCCATTCCGGACTGTAGTTTGCAGGTTGTAATAGAATTTGGCTCCACAAGAGAGTGAACTTGGTTCGCTTTTTGCCAATGACAAATCCTTCTCAGTTTCTGCTGCTACCCATCCAGAAATGCAAATGGCTTCTATCATAGCAGATTATTACTCAAAATGGAAGTGGTCAAGTTTCAGGTGAAAGTATGAATAGTGACCAAAAGGTGGAGCCTGAGCTTCCTTGGAGCGATGATAATGTTGAAGATGATGATAAACATGTTGATAGTGTGGAAGGAATATTGGAACATGAAGAGCTGAGTTGGCTGTACTTGTACCGGGCTTACTATATACAGCACAGGAGTTCCTAAGTGAGGAAGAAGCAAGGTTGAGTGTATGGCGTGACCCAGTCACAACTAGTACGGCCGCATAGTAGCAGTTGCTATGGAGCGACCTTTTGAAGATTCCGGTGACGTTAATGATGGAGTGCATGAGGAAGAGCGATTCTCAGTTCATTATTGTGGGATTAAAAAGAAGGATGAAGACTTGTCTGCCCATTATTTTGGTGGTGAATGTAACGACACTGGAGAAGAATCGCTCGAGGCTGGAGCTATCAGTGCTAGAAGTCCGACTCAAGTGCCGGAGCACCATTGGAAACGGAGGAAGCGGAAGCACCTGCGGGGCCCACCGAGATATCGCGTCGAAAGTATGGAAAGCCAGCAACATTGGCTAGAGCTTGAGAGCAAAGTTGGTCTCAAGAGCGTATGATGGAAAATCATGTTTTTCTCATTGTTATTATATCAATTAGTAGGATACCTATTATTAAGGGTAGTAGCCGTGTAGTATTAGGTTTTCAGGTCATTTTCTATATATAATGTACTTTGCACATTTCGTGAGAATTATCACGTAAGTTAATGTGAAAAGTATCCCCAACCTCGACCCTCTTAATCTCGTCCCTCTCACCCTAAAGGCCGCCGGCCATTCTTCTCTTTTCGGTCTCCAATTTCATCTTCCAAATCCCTCATCCCCAATTCTCGTTCCAATCTCCAATTATGCTCTTCCTATCCCAATCCCTAATTCATATCTAAATCCCTACTCAATCCAATTATCAATTATCTAAGCCTATCAAGAAGGCTCTAGATCCGATTTCCATCACATATATACTCAAGAAAGCCATGACACCCCTAGTATTATAACTTCTAATTAGCATTGAGAAAGAACATACCCCTGTCCAAGATAATGCAGTCGTTGTAATAGATATCATATCGACTCAACCAACCACCAGTTCCGTGTCCTCCAAAGAGCAATAACTGAAAATACATCATCAGTCGTCAGATCAAATTAGTACTCAAAAAGAATAATTATTTCAAACTAATGGAATATTGTATTAGCCAAATAGATTTCACTGATAAAAATGGTAAGAGTATATAAAAAGACAAAACGGCAGCAAATAGTGTTCTGAGATGTCCTCACATTAACCCCACCAGAAGTTATAGTATGCCCACAGCGAGGAGAAGGAGCTTGACCAGGAAGCTTCAATTGGGTCCATCCAGGTGATTCATTCTCTTCCTTCCACAATATAGAGAAACAAAAAGCCAATTGATCTTATTCACTCCAGATAAGGATCAAGTGATAACACTCAATTAACAAAACAGATAGCGAAAACTAGGAGTCAAACAAAAAAAAAAATGAACTGCTATCAATAAAATGGATTTGTAACAAGATAACCGGAATGACAAAAATTGTGCCTCATTGTACGTCATGAGTTATACAAACTTAATTTTCAATGAGACTTAAGTGCTACCATCTGGACTAGTTTGCTCATTTTTATACCTTATGCATCATGCATCCTAACATCACCATCAGGTATCAAGTACACGATTCTGAAAATAGTGATCTTATGCTGCTATCCCTTGTGGATATTAAATAATAATAACAAACATCACTGGAGCGAAGTTAGTAAATTGGAAGTACGAACACCATGAAAAGTTATACAAGCCAGCATGACTACACATGAGACTCTGATAGATATAACTACAAAAGATCAAAACAAAAGGATTAAATACCAACCTTCTTCAATTAGACCCTTCAGAGCCCATAAATCACCCATGATTGGACCACCACCACCTAGCAAAATTTAAAACATGAAAAGAATCAAAAGCCAGTCTACGATAAGAAAGTGATCAAAGGTATTATGCATTTGTACATCTCCAAGATCCAAACATCATAAAAAAGAACCATTCATCTGAACTAAACCAAAAAACGTTGGTAACAAAACAACAGGCCATGCAAAAGTAACTAAGCCTTACATATCGTCCTGAATGAGGAGTTGTCCTAGGACATCAGAGGACAAAACATATTGATATGAGAAGCTACCTGGATAAAACTCTTAACAGGAAAAGAGCCAGCTTTAAAACACATATTTAACTAAAAACCTTGATAGCATTGATTCTGCATAACATCATTCGCAAGAAACTGAGGAGCAAAACGTATAAATCTAGTTTATTTTGAAGTCCAAATCCATGATGCCAACATATTCACCAGAACAAATTCAATCTATCTCTTACACCAATCCTGAGAAAGCACTCAGCACCTCATAACGTTTAACATAGCAAACAAGGAAATGCAAGGAGTACAGCCTGCGGTACCTCTGCCACCATAGACAAGTAATCGCTTCTCAACCATGGTAACTGTATGACCACACCGAGGAGGGGGTAATGTTCCAGTGACTGCCAGCTCTGTCCATTCAAGTGATGCTGTTCAAAGAAGAATACCAGCGAAACGAGGAAAGCCCACACCAAATCACCAATCTTGACCAAATAAACAAAGCCAAAAGGAATCCCAAACATCAAAGAGACTAGAACATACTCGTATCCAGGACGTAGACATCCGACAACCACTTCTTGCCATCCCAACCACCCAACCTACACCCAATAATTCCCACGATAATTGAATAATGAAAACAATGCCCCTTGGTTAGCGAACAATGTAATGAAAAACATACTTACATGACAATTTTCTGGTTTCCAACTGCAGAAGCTGCTGCAAAATCCCTCGGTGAGGGCAAATCACCGAAACTTGCCAGCTCAGACCATTGCCAAGTATCTGGAGAATAGATAAGTTGGATCAATGCCTCTCATTATCACAACGGTACACACACCGTAAAATATCATTGCAGTAGATCTTGCAGTTGGCAGACGCAAATCCAATTGCAGTTCTATTCCTGGGTTTTCAGGGGTAAGGGGATGGAAGTTCATCAAGTACTATATTATACAGCCCTAGCATTTAGTGAAATACCCAGTCAGGAAAATGCTAGTGTGTTCTTACCAGTATCAAGAAGCCAAAAGTCACCCAACCTGAAAAATACAAATTCCTGGTCAGTATAATTGCACACCCAGCTTGCAACTAATCATTCAAAGTAGTCAAAATTCCAGCTTTCCAAAAACCTTTTGCCACCAAATCTCCCACCAAACACGAACATTAAAGTATCAATGGCGACCGCAACATGAAATGCCCGGGGGCTGGGACCAACTTGCCCATCAGACCCATTTCCACTGCAGTCTGGCGTAAACCACATCTTCTTTTCTGGAAGAAAATCGAAAGCTCTCAGGGCCTCACTCACAACCCGAAATTGCAAAAATTTACAGATTACACCACAAAGTGGCTCCCCCTCAGTGGGGGGCTATGAAGTTAAGAACATACCAACATCATAAACATAGATGTCACTTAGGAATGTCTTATCTACAAGACCACCAAAGATGACAACCTTAGATTTCCCAACCATGACGGCCGTATGACCACTGCAGGAATCAATCAAAAACAGGCTGATCAAAAAAACTTCCACGATTCATGACGAAAGAGAGAAACGGAAGGTGGCTAACCGAAACCTAACCTGCGAGGCTGGGGAAGAGGTCCCGTAAAATCAACAGGAGAAGCTTGAACCCAGTAATGCATGATTTAAAATTTTTCTTTCCGACAGATCGCAGCCTCGCCCTTCTGTAGTTCTTTTTGCTAAAGCTCCAGACTCCAGAGTCTAGAGCACTAGTTAGTAGTTATCCTGACACTTCAGACCTAAAAGTGATTCCAAAGATCCTGGCTATAATTTGAGTGGAGGGAAGAGACAGAGAGAGGATTTGGGGCTGTAGAATGGAGAAGGAGGAGGTAGAGGATTTTTGTAAGGATTTAGGGAGGTTGAGATCACCACGGTTGAGAGAGAGGAAGCGTGCGCCACTAGTGATGGCAATTTCAACCCGCCCCGCGGGTATTACCCGACCTGACCCGCGATGGGGCGGGTATTACCCGACCCGCAGTAGCGTGGGGCGGGGCATGGGTATCTACTTCAGACCCGCCCTGCCCCGCCCCGCCCCGTTCTAGACTCATTTTATCTCAATTTCTTACAATATCTATACATATTTCTCCTATTTTGACTTTTCTTCAACTAGTTAGAGTCGATCTTTCAACTTGTTAGGCTCAATTATCCATTCTATTATCAATATTTTTCATTCTTGAAGTGTTTTTCCCTGCGTTTTATTGTAAAAAGTAAAATTTACTTGTATTTTTTTGAACAAACATGTAAGAGTGGGTCGACCCGCCCCGCCCCGCATCCGCGCGGATTTTACCCGCCCCGACCCGTAGTAGCGTGGGGCGGGGCATGGGAATTGAGGTACCCGCCCCGCCCCGCCCCATTGCCATCACCATGCGCCACGAGCCCACGACGTTGGTGGGAGTGAGAGAGAGTCAACCAGTCGGTCTGGATGGGTTCATAGCTTATCAATAATTAAGGTTAGTCACAAATGACATATAAAAAAATTGGGGTTATAGGGGGAATGGATCAGGTCAGTAACCTTATGGTGAGTAACCATGAGTAACCCGTCCACATCAGTATGACATCAGCATCCTCTCTCTCATGGAAAGCCTCTAATTTTTCCCTTTTTAATCTTTGACGGACGATTTCTCGCTCATTTTAAGTCGAAATTTAAATTTTTTTGCACAGTTAGATCAGATTAATTGTGCTCTTCAAAATGATATCCACTTTAATATATTTATCGAACAAAAAAAATTGAGCCATTTTTTACCAGCCTATACCATATGGTATTGACTGGTATTGAAATAAAAACATACCTATGTTTTGAAAAACGTACCATGGTGGTATGAACAAACCAATACTGTAGGATGGTTGAATACATGATAGTAGAAGTATATTAATTGTAATTTACGACTTTTAACATTGTATACCACACAATACCACCCCGTACCAGGGTGGTATTGTATGGTATTGTGTGGTATTTTTTGGTCCTGTAATTTGTTCACCCAGAAATTTGTAGATCCAATAGATCATGATCAACTCGTCCCTTCTGTGCAAACGTTTTCAAAAACGAATTAAAAACGAAGAAGATACCATACAATACCACCTCGTACCAGGGTGGTATTGTATGGTATTGTGTGGTATATTTTGGTCCTGTAATTTGTTCACCCAGAAATTTGTAGATCCAGTAGATCATGATGAACTCATCCCTGCTGTGCAAACGTTTTCAAAAACGAATTAAAAACGAAGAAGATACCATATGGTATGCAGTTGGTACCGAGAGGCCAGAATTTTTTTTTCTAAAAAAATATTGAAAATTGATCTCATTTTGTAGAGCACGATGAACTCATTCCATCTGTGCAAAAAAAATTAAAATCCGAGTTAAAACGAAAAAGATATGAGTCAATTAAGAAAGATAGTGAAAATAAAAATAGTCTTTAATTCTCCACCCTTAGATCTGGATTTTCTAAATGAAGGGTCCAGATTTGGTTATTGATGGGTGCATAACCCATGGTTATGCACCCTATCTTGAGCCGGTTATAGGTATAATATGTCATCTACTATAACATTTTATCAAACATGCCTTTCTATTATTTTTCACATCAAACATGTCCTTGTATTTTGACAAAATTATCAAACATACCCTTCTGCTAAAATTTCCATAGAAAATATCGTCAATCATGGTTGAACCGAGATTTAGACGACCCGACATCGGCAAATGGGAAGAAAATTATCAGTTTTGTCCCCCGTTTTATTTCTCTGGGTCTATTCAAAGTGAAATTATTTGAATTATTTGACTATACAAAAGAACCAAAAAAATTCTGGAGTGAAATTATTAGGGATATTTGAGACATTTGTGTCGCCCAAACCAAAGTTCGCCATTGGTTAACGGTTTTTGGATGAAAATTTTAAGAAAAGTGCATATTTGATAATTTTACAAAGTACAGGGGCATGTTTGACGTGAAAAATAGTAAAGGGGCATGTTTGATAAAACATCATAATAGAGGGGCATATTATACCTATAACCCAAAAAATTGTGTAACATAAATGATAAGATAAATTGTAAGGTTGGTCTTTTTATTTTTTTTTAGAAACAGAGCGCAGAGGGGCGCTCTAACCCTTATTCATTAATCTATCGGGGTGTTTGTACCCCAATCGTGTCAAACAGCAGGCAGTACTTCAAGCTAGGTCCCGGGTGGTCTAACACATGGAGACCAATAGACAAAGAGTGGCCGACAGAGGCCATATAGTCTGCAACGTAATTGCTCTCACGAAACACATGTTCGATCTTTACCTCCCACTCTCGGTCCAGTAAGCGCCTGATAGCTGCGCCCATCGTGCTATGGGGATGGTTTGCTCGGTTGGCTCGTATGATTGACCCCGTCGTCCTCGAATCTGTATGTAGCCAGACCTTCCTTACTCCTAGATCCCACGCAACTTGGAGGCCATAAGCGATACCTGCCAATTCAGCATGCGTTATCGATCCTCTTCCTAAATTCGCCGAGAATGCCTTCATGAACTGTCCGCTACTATCCCTTATCACTCCTTCAACCGTAGCGCTACCCAAAGAGGGATTCACCGAATTGTCCGTATTAAGAGCAACCCACCCCGGAGGTGGCTTTCGCCAGCTGACGTAGCTCGTCGTTCTCTCCAACCGCTGCCCCATAACTTCCGCGGCCTTACTCATGGCAAGGCTGCTTTGGCGCACTAGCTCTTTTGCTTGTCTCGCCAACAGAGTTGTCGGCGCCAAAGTCCTCTCGAATACCAATTTGTTTCTATTCTTCCAGAGTTTCCAGCAGAGAATAGCAAACAAAGATGGATCCACAATATGACTCCGGCCAGCTAGGTAGTGAAGCGCCCATCTCGTAGGATCTTCCTCAAAGAACACACTGTCGGCTCCTCCTCCAAAACCTCCTACCAGGCCGCCCTAGCGTAGGGGCAGTCTCTAATGACGTGCATGGCCGTCTCTAGGCCACCACCACAAACTTGACACGCGTCCGTCGGGGCTAGATGGCGCCGACACCGCTCAGCATTGGTAAGCAGCCTGTTATGTAACACCAACCAGAAGAATGAACGAGTTCTTTGTGGTCCTTCTATCCGCCAGCAACGTTTCCAAACTGGGTAGGCTTGCCCTGCTTCCTCATCCTCGCGAAGTAACTCATATGCTGACTTGACTGTGAACTAACCAGACGAGGATGAACGCCAGACAGGGGTATCCGAATCACTCCCTTCCGGAACTGGGTGTAACAATATCTGCGACACTAGAGCTTCGGGAAGGAACGCCCGGAGATAATGGTAATTCCACTCGCCATTCAAAACCAACTCAGCTACCGTGAGCTCCCGTGCAGCATCTGGAGATCATTCGTGAATTCCTCGAGAGGCGGTCCGTCTTGAAGCCATATATCTGTCCAGAACCTAATTTGAGCACCACTTCTGATATTCCACATCATTCCCCTCGGCATCAAGTGGAGAATTTGTAAAACTCCTCTCCACATATTCGACAAACGACCTTCCGTCCTTGCCTGCCACCCCCTAACCGTCCGCCGTAGGTATTTGCCTTGCACCACTCGAGCCCATAGCTGGTCCGGCTCTGATAACAGCCTCCACACAATCGATACTCGGTTATGGATGCATGACCGGGACCCCCAAGTAGCGGCCGAGGTTCTTAGTCTCTGGTATACCCAGCGCTCCACTCAAAGCTCCCCCCTCAGCAACAGTGACATTTTTTGAAAAGAATACCCGAGACTTGGGGCGACTTATCTGTTGGTCCGGAGCCGCTCCAGACTCCTCTAGGCATCATAGAATCACCTGGACCTGCCGCATATCTGCCACACTAAGCAAGATCAGGTCATCAGCGAAGAACAAGTGTGAGAAAGGGGGTCCCTGACTCGACAGTCGCATTGGTTTCCATTCACCATGTGTCACTCACTGCGTGCGAAATAAGATGCCCTAGCCTCTCCATAGACAATGTGAAGATATATGGTGAGAGCGGGCAGCCTTGGCGAAGTCCACGAGAGGGTGCAAAGTACTCAGTCAGTCCACCATTCCACTGAATCTGCATGGCAGAAGAAGAGATACAGCTGATAGTTAAATCAATAAATTGTTGGGGAGCACCCACTGCATGCAAGATATCGCGAACAAAGCTCCATTTGATCATGCCATACGCCTTGTCTAGGTCAATTTTAAGAATCATCCAGCCAACTCTGCCCTTCTTAGCCCACATCGAATGCACTACTTCCTGCAAAATGCACATATTATCAGTAATATGTCGGTTTGGCACGAAACTTGTCTAGGTCTCATGCACCATGCTCGGCATGAGAGGCTTTAATCTCTCCGCCAAGCACTTAGTGACTATCTTGTACGTGACATTGCAGAGGCTGATGAGGCGGAACTGGTCAATGGTTGTTGGCTTCGCCACCATCGGAATGAGGACTACAATGGTCTCATTCAGCTCCTTCACCCTCGATGGGAAACTCCAACAAGCCTGAATAAACTCCAACACTATAGTTCCCACAACTTCCAAGTTCCGCTGGAAGAATAACGGGTTGAGGCCATCCTTTCCAGGAGCCTTGAGTGCTCTCATTGCCTTCATTGTCGTATGGGCAAGACCCCTCCCGGAGACCAGGAAATGTTGCATGTAAAACATAAATAGGGGCCCCATCGTCAGTATACAGTGCTTCATAGCACTGGAGCGCCATGTCGAGGAGTCCCGCTTGATCCTCCACCCAAACCCCTGTTGTTCTTCAAGGCAGAGATGCGGTTTTTCCTCCGCCGGCTGATGGTCCAGGAGTGGAAGTATCTAGTGTTTCTATCAGCTGAGATGATCCACTCCAAGTTCGATTTTTGGCACCAGAGAAGCTCCTCTTGGAGAAGCACATCTTCCAGATCAGCATGCGCCTGTCGAAGCCTCAGGTCATCGTCCTCTCCACCGCCCCGTTGCTCTAACCGCCCAATCCTGTTGAGCAGTTTATTCTTCCTCTGCAGAATATAACCAAACTCATGTTGGTTCCATTGCGTCGCCTCCTCGGTAAACTCTGCAATGGCTGAGGTTAGATCCGTGCCTCGTGCCCATGCTCTCTCCATCATACCCTTAAACCCCTCATGAGTTAGCCAAGTCGCCAAGAACTTGAAGGGCTTAGGGCCGGCAGGATGGAAGGAATGATCCACTGTTATAAGA